TAGCTTGAGGTAGAGCTCCTAGCTTGAGGTATTTGTCATTGATAAGACCTGAAGAGCTCACAGGCTTGCTACTGCATCTTCTTAATGGTGTGTGTGCATCCATCCCTCCCTCCTGCCCACCGTAATAAGGTTCTTGTACGTTCATCCATCCGTGACCAGATCTATTTGTCCTCTCTGGGAAGGTGGGGGGTAGCGAGTTTCTTTCCATGTGTACGAAAAACAGGTAAATCTGGACAAAGCTGGAGAGAAGCGAAGTCATAGGTGTTCAACAGCATTGTTCCTTGATGGGGTTTGAATGGGTCTGGGGCTGAACAAATGCTTGCTGTAGGCATGCGGGGCTCTTATGGAACTGTATTTCCACAGGTCACTGTACTTGGGGCATGAACTGCCGATTTATTCACCCTGGCGTGAATGACAAAGGAAACTACTCCTTGATCTCCAAGCCTGAGCCTTTCTCCCCAAATGGTGCTCCTCCTATCGGCCCTCACCCACTGATGCCAGCCAACCCTTGGGTACGGACATCTTTTCGGTGAATTTACGGCTTCTGCACGTAGCTTTTGGCTTCTGCTCTAGGAGAAGTGAAGATTATGTTGGGTTTTTTTTGAGGTAGTGCTTTAGCAAAATTCAAGACATCAGTTGGATCGGTGATTTTTTTTAAAAGGTGGTCTTGAAGTCGCTAGTAGAGGGGGATCATTTTCCGTGTGTGTCCCAGCTCGTGGCCTGCTGATACATCTCATAGAATCACAGAATAGTTTGGGGTGGAAGGGGCCTTTCCAGCTCGCCTAGTCCAACCCCCCTGCAGTGGGCAGGGACGGCTGTAGCTGGATCAGGTTGCTCACAGCCCCGTCCAGCCTGACCTTGAATGTCTCCAGGGATGGGGCTTCTACCACCTCTCTGGGCAAACTGTGCCAGTGTTTGACCACCCTCATTGTAAAAAAAAAAATTGTCTTTATATCTAGTCTGAATCTCCCTTCTTTTAGTTTAAAACCCCCTACTGTCCTGTTGGAACAGGCCCTGCTGGAAAGATTGCCCCCGTCTTTCTTACAGGCTCTGGAGTATCTGGAGATACTCTGTGGGAACTGTTTACAAAGCATGAGTTTGCTGCTTAAACCTAATGTCAAGTGTCTGTCTCCTTCCTCTTCTCCCCCTTCGAACAGGGAGGGCCTGTCGTTGATGAAATCTTACCTCCACCCCCTCCAGACCCCCCAACAGAAAGTGCCTGGGAGAGAGGACTCCGGCATGCTAAAGAGGTGAGTGCCCTCCTCAGGAGGTGTGCTGCCTGTCGCCAAAAGCTGCTGGCCTGTTCCCTCTGCAGCAGGCTGCTGGCAGAGCTCTCCTTGGAGCACGTAGCGTTCCGCTCTTTGCAAGGAGCCAAACTTTTGCCTTTCCGCCTGTTAACTGCGCGTTGTTGTACGTCACGGTTGTTGCACAGTTAGGAGGAGCTGGCATCCAGGTTTGGTGTTTTATGTGAATGTCAGCTAAGGAGGATCCGTGGCCCTGATCACTTCAGGAGTCAAGCCCTCCACAAAGCAAAACTTTTTAAGCTGGTCCAATTTCCCTTACTTCAGTACTTGTCTCTCTAGCCCCTACGGGATCCATGTGCCTGATTGTTGCAGGAAAGGGGGTCAGTATGTCTGAAACTTTTATTGCCTGTCTGCTAGCTGTTCTGAGTTGATGGAATAGTGAATTACACTTTATGTCAAGAAAAGCCCAGTGTGCTGGGCGTTCATGAGACTTGGGCAGAAGAAAGGTGCTTTGGTTGAAGGGCAGGTTTCTCCCAGGTGACGGGTTTTTAATACAGTTATTTCTCTGTGCCTCAGAAATGTTCTCTGTTTACAATGTTTTTCTGTTATGGCAGGTATTAAAAAAGGCAACTATGAGAAAAGAGCAGGAGCCTGACTTTGAGGAGAAGAGGTTCACTGTGACTATCGGAGAAGACGAGCGTGAATTTGACAAAGAAAACGAGTTCTTCCGCGACTGGAATTACCGCATCACCAGAGACGTCAGAGATCCAGCGTAAGATGCAGCCTTGGCTTTGCCGCGTGGGATAGATGGGTGGGAAATGCAGTGCAGTCTGGCAGTTACCTCGTTCCTCCAAACTGGAGGAACGCTGAGCTCGGGAAATGGGAACAACTTCCACTAAGCAGTATGTGCACCGGTTAAAAACGTGAGCGGCCTCCGCTGACTCCAGTTCAATGCCACCTCCCTTCCCGGTCGTCTTTAAACCTGCCTGCCCTCCGTGCTGTTGGCATACCGGTCCCTCAAGGACATTACCTAGTGGTGCATTGCCTGCCAGGGCATTCTTCTGCCTTTTTTCCATCTCGTTTTTCTTATTCCAACCCATGAGAGTTTTAAAATGTTGAAGCCGGGGCTGCGAAGTTGGAGTATGCTCCGGCTCCGGGAGCTTCAGGGCAGCAGTTGTGTTCTCTTGACCAGCTGGGTGTTTATTTACAAGGGCACTGGGACAGCAGCTGGTCTTAAACATCTTGACCAGTCCTGGAGGAACTATTTAGTAAGTCGCTGGTCAGAAAGCAAACCTGTGAGCTGCCAGGGCATAGCCTGGGCCAGAACAAACACCCTAAACGGAAGGGTGTAGGTGATTGGGGTTTTTTTTAAGGAGGTAAAATGAAATGTTGGACACCTCAGACCCGCTCCTGTCACGACTGAGAGCTGGCAGAAGGTGCGAGGATGAGTAAGTCATCTTAGAGAGGCTTGCTTAGTAATTCTTGAGCCAAGAAACGGAATGGAAAAACAGTTTTAGAGAGAGAGGCTTCTGTTCTGCAGGAACGCAGGTGGATCTCTTGCTGTCTTGCTTACACATCCTCTGGTCTTCCTGCATGTATGGGCTATTTCTGCTCCCTCACAGAGAAAAGCGTTGGCCAGGCTTGGCTCTGTCTGTTCTGGAGTGAAGGAACTGCAAAAAAAGGTCTGAAAAGGAGCAGGTTAAGCTTTTGTTCGGTAGTTTTTTGCCTTGCTCTGGAGCGCAGTTCCCTTCCCCGTCTTACAAAGCAGCCCTCCGCTCAGTTCTGCAGACTGTAACGGAACAGTTGCACCGTATGAACTTGTTTGTGTGTAGAAATCCGTCCGTATCTTGGTCTTCTCTTCCTCTGAGAAGGCTTTCGGTTGCCCCTGGGCTGTATTGTCACCAGTGCTCTCTGGCTTGACAGTACAGTATCTGTATTTTGTGAGGGTGTACGAAAACTAGCATCAGCATTCCAGTTTTTTGTGCCACTGCCTGACCGATGTAAGAACTGTTGTGTTAGGTACAGGACTTTCTGTTTTTTCGTATAGTCAAGGAAAAAAATGTGTTGCATGTAGCCAGTGTTAAATAGAGTAATCAAACAACTGGAATTCCTGAAAATTCAGGCACCTTTCTGTATAACTAGACTGGGGCATTGAAGTATCTTCATTGTGCGAAAAGGCAAAAAAGATATGAAGTTGCTGCTGCTGTAAACTCTAGAAAATGGTGATTTTTCTCACACACACACACACTTACTGCACAGATGGACACCTTGCAGCAACCTAACCACTGGTGGTGCAGCTGTGATGTTAATGAATGCTTTCAGGACTGTCTTGTGACATATCAGGATGTCTAAATAGTTCATGAATCCCTTTTTCTTTTTTGAAAAACTATAGGGAGGTGGACATCAAAGAAAACATTAACTATGGGTAAGCAGGTCTTTGATTCCAGTACTGTTGCAACTGTAAGAAAATATTCCTTTTCCTTTCTCCATTGCACTTCTGAAAACTTCCTAGGCCACAGACCGCTGTCCCATCAGGTGTGGTGGGCGATTTATTAACTGAATGGATGTATTTGATTTTTTTTTTGGGTGCTACTAATTATTCACCGAAGGATTGAAGCACTGAATTATGTCAATCCACAGCAGTGAAGTCCACAAATGTTATAGGAAGAGAATTGGGGAGATTTGGACTTGAGGCTGGGTTAAAAAGTAAAGTGTTTCTTTTTGGGTTTTGGGCGTAGCTTGAGATTGGTGTCTCTTTGAACACTTGATGTCACTGAATCCAGTCTGTTGCCCGGTTGGCATCAGGTGTTCGTTGCTGCACGAAGCATCCACGTTTGAGATTCCCTGGTATTCTTTCCCTTGGCTTACTGTTTCAGCCAAAAATAGAAACCTTAAACCATTTGAAAGCACTGAAGGAAGTACAGGTAGCCGCTTGACTTGCAGGGCAGCGCTTACATCTTGGATTGTTTTAGATATGGCACCTTTTCAAACGCAAAAGTGGGCCCTTGATTCCTCTAACTGACAAGTCAGAGTCTTATTATGGATAATGTGGAACTGGGAACACTTGCTTTATAATCTCAGTTCTGCCACTGGTTTCTCTGTGGCCCTGGAAGTTTCTTGTTTCCTGTACCCACCTCCCCATGTTTATGTATTTTCACTCCAGGTGGCTGGCAGGGATGGGATATCGTTGAGTATGTGAATTAAAAACCTCAAATCATATTAATAAAAAAATCATCAAATGAAGGGAACATTGCAGATTGAAGGAGGGTGAAGTTTGGATCCTTTTCCTCCCCAAAAGTAATGACAGTTTTGCAGCCGAGCTCACCAGCACCTGGTTTGCCCTGGAGAACATCAGCTGCAGTTTGGTCGCCTTCATTCCATGGAGTAATTCCAGGGGCAGAGCGTTGCTGGCCTGCCCCCCCCCCAAACTTAGCTGCTCCCAGTATCCTGGGCTGGTGGTGCTGGGATGTACACAGCCGCTCCAGTGGCAGGGGAAGTAGGAGATCTGTTCCACGTTGGGTGTGAGGGTGCTTGAGATGAGCTGTGTGTGCATGGGCAGAAAACACAGCTCTGAGTCCATGAGGCAAAACATGTTCTGTTACATTTGCAAACATCTGAAGGGGCTGTAAAAAAAGCAATTGGGGCTTCTGCATTTTGGAAGGCTGAATTCGGTTCCTAGTGTTTCTTTGTTGGTGTTTATCAAGAAAGGTTTGTGCTTTTCTCTGATAAGCTTCACTTTAAAAAAAAAAAAAAGAGCGTTTCTGTCTCTTTGGGAAATGTGGAAAACCGGCCGCTTGTCTGGTCGTCCGCCGTTGAACATGTTTTTTCTTGTCAGGGCGCAGTGACTTAAGACCTGACCTAGAATCTGTAGTGTTTGTGTGCTGACAAGGTGATGTTTCCCTTTCTAACCTTCCCTGTTTTTCGTTGTAGGCTTGATCCCTATACAGATCCTTATTATGACTATGAAATAGAACGGTTCTGGCGTGGTGGGCAGTATGAGAATTTCAGGGTTCAGTATACAGACCCAGATCCGTACCGTAACTACAGAGTAAGTAAGGTAAATACCCCTTTCCGCACTTTTTCCTTTCAACTTTCTTCCAGGTACTTCAGTGCTCGTCGTGTTGCCAGCGCGGTGGTTGAAACGGGATTTCTCCTGTATGTTCGAGATGCTCCATCTTACAAATAGCTAAATCTTGACTTAGTGGCTGCACAGAACACGCTCGAGGTGTGCAGGGCTGGGAGGACGTTCTGTTTCAGAAGGACGAATGAAAAAGCACGTCTGAGATGGGAAGGTGGTTCCTCTTCACGTGCCCTGGCTGCTCCTCTCCGTACCAGGCAGTGGTGCAGCGCTTCTGCGGCCGTTTGTGGGAATGTGGGAGAAGGAGGGGAGTTTCCAGGAAATAACCTGCCTGGGGAACGGTTTGCTTGTTAGTTACTGGGACAGACGGAAAGGATTAGATTTGGACAGGCGTGCTTTGTGTACAGACGGAGGCTCCGGCGTGACGGTCCGCCACTGGTGGAGTTGCACGTTAGTCGGCTGAGTCAGATGAGGAAAGCACACAGGCAGCTGCTAAAATCCCCCATGCAGCCGGTGTTGCGCTGCTGGAAGGTGTAGAGCTCGGTGAAAATTAGGCTGTGAACCTTTCCCTCTGCTTGCTTTTGCCCTCCTGCAAACTGTTGTGCCTCCAGAGCAGTGGCAAAAATAATAATCCCTGCTCCGTGGGGAGCTTTTCGGTGGTATCGCTCACGTCCTTTTGCCGAGGGGCTTTCCTTTTGCCGCGAGACCGTGGCGTTCTGCGGCAGCAGTGCACAAACAGGAGCCCGTCCTCCCTACTGCTGCACGGGATGCACCCTGAATTATTTCCGTGGCGCTTGTGTGTGAGGTTAATTAGCTTGTTATAAACACGATTAGCAGCGAGAGTAGATCCTTGTAAACATCGATACGTTTATTTAATAAGCTAATGAGCCAAATTAATCTTTGACTGTTGTTTTTGCAAATGACAACTGTGGTGAATATGATCTGGTGTTTTGTTCCTCTCCCCTTTCTGCCTGCTCAGCAGTGACGGCCAGCAAGCTCCAGATTATTTATCCCAAACCTTTCCTCTGACGTGGGAGGGCGCGTGTAGTTACTTGCAGTCCGAGACTTTGAAACCTTGCTGCCCGCTTTGTTGGGAGTTGGTACCACAGCGTCACGACGGTTTCTCTTCTTCTTTTTAAAGGAAAGAGAGCGAGAACGGAAAGGGGAAAGAGAGAACAGACAACGGGAAAGGGAACGCGAGAGGGAGCGGGAGCGAGAACGGGAGCGGCGCCAGCGGGAGCGAGAGCGAGAAAGGGAACGGGAGCGCGACAAGGAGCGCCAGCGGCGGAAAGAAGAGTGGGAACGGGAGAGAGAACGCGTGAAGAGAGATGAAAAAGACAGGCAGCACCGGGACCGGGACAGGGACCGAGACCGGGACAGGGACAGGGAACGCGAAAAGGAGAAAGAAAAACCAAAGCCACGGTCCCCGCTGCTACCCAGGTAAGTGTTGGCTGGAATTCGGGCTCGGCATTTTAGCTGACGTTGGTTTAGCTGTGGAGGAGGAACCAGGCTCACGCTGATCAGAGAGGAGATCATCTCTGTTGTCCACAATTCCTTGAGTAAAGCCGTAGTTTCAAGAGGGAGGCAACGCTCTGAGCGAGCCTTGCTGGCCACTAAGTGGAGCTAAAACCTCAGCCAGAACCGAGCGTGCGTAACCTGGCTCTGAAAGGAGGAGAACATCTGTCCTGCGGTGTGTGGGTACGGAGATGTTCCGCTTGTCCCCGTTCCCCGGAGGCTGAAGGACGTCTCGGGAGGCTGGCTGAGTCCCCAGTGCTGAGAGCACCCTGCAGACGGTGGCGACCCCCTTTGTGGCCTCGACAAACGAGCTTTGACAAGAATCAGGGCCGGTTTGGGAGTGTTTGGCTAGCAAAAGGGTCTGGAGATGTATTAAGTAAAACTCATCAAAGAGGCTAGAAAAGGTTAAAGGGATTGTGTGCCTTGAAACGAGTCTAGGGGTTACGGTACAGCTGCAGTGTGGAGTTGGGTTTCTTGCCTCTGAGCAGTTTTTTCTGAAAATCCTGGTTCTGACCTGTGTGAAAGGGAAAATTGAACCAGACAGACTAAAAATCTAGGAATTTTAAAGTGAATCCTATTTAGTTTCTCTGTCGATTATTTCCCAGCGTGCCGTGTATTGGGCATATTTGTAAAGCACCGTATAAATACCACAGCTGAATATAGACCTTGTCTTATGGGAGCTTTTAATGTCACAATGTCTTTTGGTTCAGAATCAGAGAAAAGTGTCAAATTTACTGCTGAAGGGCAAGAAAAACTGATCAGCAGTGTCAGTGTCTTGAAAACGAGTGGCAGATGGAGTGTTCTGACGGTGTGTCGGGGAATGTGGGGACACGCAAGCCTCGGGGCGGGGGGGTGTTTGGGGCAAAGTGGGGTGCAGGGAAGCTCTGTTTCCCAAGACCTTGGAGCTTCTCCTTCTGGCTGATGTCTGTGTTGTTTCTTGAGCGCTTGAGGAAGGTGCAAAGCATCATGAGCATGAGGAGAAGTGTGTTTTAACGAAGAACAGGGCGAAGGAGGCCTGGAACGAGGTGCTGCGTGGAATTGTGTGGTGGCAGGCGAGAGCAGGGTTTAGTCTCGAATCTGACCCAGAATTTTTATTTGTGTTACTAGAAGGAAAGTTGATTTTTGGTGCTGAGCCTTTTCTCCAAGAGGAAGCCACGGCTTCAGAACAGTTTGGAGGTGCCTCGTGAGCACTTTGGTGCCGTAGCGGTGTCAAAGTGGTCATAGGAATACATTTAATTACATGCCACGTTTAATTACAATCTTCACTTACAACCATAATTTGTGCGCCTTCATTGCCGCGTTTGCTGTTGGTCGGTGCTCTCATGGGGTTAGTGATGGCAGAGATCTTGCTGCGCGCAGGAGCATGTGATGAAGATGATGACGATGAGGAAAGCGACGTCAGCTGATGGGCAGCTCAGGTGGTTAGTCATGAACAGCCCCCATGACCGGGATGGCCGCACGCAAGGCTGAGGCTGCTGGTGGCTCTCTCCCGTGACACTCGTGCTGGGCCGTGGGGCAGGGCTCTGTGGGAGAGCTTTGGCTGTTAGCGCTGCCCAGGGGCGGCTGGCTCGGGGGCGGTGGCCGTGCTCGCCCGCCTTGGATCCATCTCGCCCCGTGAAACCCTCGGTGTGAGCCGAGAGATGGGATTTACAGCGTTCGTGACGTTACATGCTTTGGGGTTAGAGGTTCCCCGCTTCCCTCCCGTGTCTCCTCTCTGAGACGAGCGCTGCTTAAGGGAGCTGTGGGTGCCTCTTGCGGCTCCAAACCAGGCTGCTTCAGGCTAGTCTTGCTAAATTAACAGTAGTCCTTGATATGCCTCATTGTTTTGTTCATTTTTAAGTCTGCTATTCTTTGTGGAGAATCTACTACTGGAAGTGTCCTCAGCCTTGTCCTGTAAGGCGGGTGCTGATGGCTGCGGGGCCAGGAGGAGAGCTGGGAGAGAGGGACAGCGAGCAGGGCTTGCTTTTGGCTTCGTTTGCGTGGGGCTTTGAAAGCTGGTGGCCAGAAGCGTTTTTTGTGTTGGAACGGGGAGCTGGAACTGAATGGAAAGCTTTAAAATCTCCAAAAAACCAAAATGTCAGGTCAGCACCTACACCCAGTATCTCCTCTTAGAGGAGAGGGGAATTAATAAGAGCACTTAGCAGTAAACCCAAAAGCCCTACGTTGCTGAAGGCAGCTCTCCAAGGGCTCTTCATGGGACTTCAGTTCTCGCTGTCGAAACCCACGTCAACATGAACGCTCTTACTACAGCGTTTACAGGGGTGTGGGTGTTTGCAGAGAAGATAAACCTGCAGAAAAAAAAAAGCTTTTTTAACAAAGCAATGGCATAATTCAACTTCTTCTCCCTTGGAGAAGACCTCCCTCGTCCAGCAGTGTGTGCCGCCCTACGCCGCATTCCCCAGAAGCCTCGGTCGCGCTTACGGCGTGACTTGGCGCTGGGCAGCGCCGTTTGTGTCCCACGTCACCTTTTTGACAGGCTCCAAACTTCCTCGTGGCAGCGCGGCGGTTCGGGCGGTCTCACCTTTTCTCCAAATACCTTCGTGCTGCTGCGGAGGGTCAGGTTTGGCACCTCGGGATGAAGCAGCGCCCGAGTTTGCTTAATGCGTAAAAACGCTCGTGATTGCTTCGTGCTTCCTGGGCAACAGGATGCACAACAGTGGCGTAGCGCTCACCTGCAGGTCTATTTATAGACTCCGGGCTTTCCCTAATCGCTAGGTCCCGGTTTTCGGCAGGTCCGGCCTTTCCAGGTGACGGGGGCTGGCTGCAGGCAGCTGCCCGTTAACATTCCGGCACCAAAGGCAGCGCCGCTTCCCGCCGGAGCCCACGCGGCCCTGCTCTTCCCTCCCTAATGAGCTGGGGAGGTTGGAAAACTGCTCCGTGGGAGTTGTGCAATCGGCAGGGAGAGCTTTGCCAAAGGCAGAGCTGAGGGTGTCTGTGAGTACAGGTGGATGCGGGTCTGTCCGTCCGTGTCCGAGCTCCCTGAAGCAGAGGCTGGAGGAAGGGACAAACGGACGTAGAGAGTGCGGGGTCGAAAGGGATGAAAGAAGCTCAAAAAGGCAAATAGCCAGGAACACGCCACAAATGCCCTTTCCGTTCCACTGAAAGCAGGAAGGTTTAATCTGATCTCTGAACAGCAGTGGAGCAGTTAAGGCCAATAACACAGAGGAGCCAGAGGACTTCCTGGCAATCGCTGGTTGCTACAGATGAGGGGGATTAGAACTGAATAACAAACAAAGGTTGCAAACCCTGACGGGCTCCGTGGCAAGTGTTTCTGCTTGAACCTTTTAAAAGAAGAGGCTGCCGTGTTTGGGCTTCAAGTGGGATTGTCACACGTGGGTTGGGCTTGTTTGGAAGGAGTGTCCCTTGCTGCTTTGGGTTTGGGGTGGGTTTTTGTCCCCCCAAGCTTAAGACGAGCACTCCCAAGAGCTTTATAATCTGAGATTGCAACGCTAGTAAAATTGTTCTTCCCCTTCCTTCTCCTCCCTCCTCAGACATCGAACGCTGAAACAAGGCAGGACTCCTTATGATCAATTAGAGGGATCACTTGGCTGGCTGTCCTTGTGCTCCCCATCTCCAGAACGAGTTCGAATGCCCCAGGCTGTGACTGATTTTTGCTGAGTACAAAATTTCTGCTTTATATCTCTGTCTTGCCAGTCTAGCTTGCTGTTGCGCAAAGCATTTCGGGGATAAAGAAATGGCATGAAATATCTCATTTGGAGAGGCTTGGAGGAGTGCAAGATGTTCTTACCCAGGCTGCTGGCCTTTAGCGGTGAGCCCAGGCCCCGCAGACAGACGTAGTAATTCGCTTTAATCCTTCTGTTGTTGCACAGGTCTTTATCCTGCCGTCATCTGAGCAAATCTGGTTGTTTCAGGAGGGCTTTAAGCAGCACCGTTCGTGTTGTGGGACCTGGTAGCAGTTGTCTTTCCAAAGCACTGAGGGACATTGAGGAGTTGGACCCACTGGCACGGGCAGCCGGCTCAGTATTGCTGCCCTGTTGGCTGGGGCAGCACTAGGTGGTTGCCCACCGAGCAGGGAGGAAGAGGAGGAGGCAATCCCATGCTGCAGGTCCTCGAGAGGGGCGTTGGTTCCTTTCCCACGTGGGTTTCCTCTGCGGGGGGATGCTGTGGGCCCTGGTGAGTAGCAGCGTGGAGTCTTCAAGTGAGAGAGATTTGCCATCTCCGGTTCTTAAGGAAGTTTCCCCTGAAGTCTGACCTAAAAGCTATTTCCAGGTTTGGTCAGGGCCCATGCTATGCACCCCAAAATCTGTGGGGTGAGGAGGAGGTGGCCGTTGTCCTGAGATGTCCGAGAGTCTGGACAGGAGGTGACAGCAGCTCCAAAGCTGCCAGGAAGGAGCAGTGTCCTGGTGAACTGTCCTGTGATTATCGCACACACGACAGGTTTGGGTTTTTTTGGAAGGAAGTTTCCCTCGGCTGGGCTAAAGGCTATTGATGGAGTGCACTTATGCAGCCATTAAAAAAATTAAAAATAACACCTGCAAGTAGGGACACTGTAAAATTTCAAGCAATGTCAGAAAGGACAGCCAGTCCGTGGCAAATCATAAATCCTTTGCAAAACCCTTCCAGCGAGGAGCGTTGGGCTTCCTCCCAGCTTCTGTGGAGGTGGCAGTAGCCCTCAGTTGTGAGATGCTGCATAATGCTGCAGACCCTGGGACAAAAGGTGACGCGTTCCCTTGGCAGAGCTCACCCTTGTGTTATTTTGGTCAAGCTCCTTCAAGTCGGCTTTGTAATCGGTCGTTGTTCGTCTCTGGGGTGAGCACGTTGACGAACAGGGTGACCTGGAGCCTAAAATCAGTGAGTACCCAGGGCTTGCAAGTTAGAAAGTGTTGGAAGGAACTTGATTAGATAAAGGAGTGGCAAAAGTAAGGGAATGCAAATGGAGTGATTCGTGATAGCGTGTGTGTATG